AGCCAATTTGTATAAAACCATTTACACACATCTAGCTTTTCAATTATAATTTTTCTACGTATTTATACATAATTGTATTCGACTACAGTTACAAATGCGTTTAAGAATATTTCAAATACATTTMATTTTAATTTTTCATTAGCAAAAAACTGGTAACCCTGCGTTTAAGAGAGCAATGTCGTTAAGAGAGCCAACGCCAATTTGCGCAAATATCCACGTTACGGATGGCAGTGAGTTTCATTTTCATTGAAACAGCAACAACTTAAATGAGATCAACAACTACAATTACGTTGTCTCTCCGAAAGTGTGGCAGGTCCGTCACTAAATGAATTATTAGAGGCCTCTTTTATTTTAATTCGTTATCGAACTTGAAWACTTCCGACAGAGTAACAGGCAGGGAGAGCCGTTTCTATATCTACAGCCTTTTCTACACTATCAAAGCGTCGTAAAATCTCCAATTTTMTTTCCAAACATACATACAGTTTTTTTTTTTGCTTATACCAAAACTCATTTTTCAAATCATAATTATTATGCTCTAAAAGTTTAACAATAAAAAAAAAGAAACAGGAAAATAGCCTTTTATTATATAAAAAATATTTAATTTATAATCAGAATTCCACTGAAACTAGCATAGTTTCACAATGTTTAAAAATCTTTGGACTTCAATCGAAATCCAAATAAAATTTAAATTTACAAAACGAGAAATTATCTTGTAAAAAATTTAAAAACTATTATCTGAATAAAAAAGGCAATTCGTAATTTGAAAAAATAAATAAATAAAGAGAAACAACGGAATTCTAAAAACAACGACTCACAGAAAAAATATGTTAGTTCAGTAAAGCCGCAACTTCGAAAAAACGCAAAGCGAGATCTTAGTCTAATTGTTTYTATATCATTTTTCGTTTCCTAAGTAACTGAATATAAAAACTTGCTGTGAGTGTTAAAGTGCAAGTGACCGAAATTCTCGGTTAACACGCAAACTAATTAATTGGACTTATGCTAAATTGAAAATGTGTACAACAATAATTGTGTTTTCTTTTCATTTTTAAAAGAGATAACATAAAAAGTGTAAAAGATAATTTTACTTAATTTAAACTGTAATTTTATGCAGCGCTCCTCAAACCATAATCTAATGCTTTCTCTAAGCAATACCTCGRTCGCACGGAAAATCCCCTTCCAAAACTTCTGAATAGTTGCTATATTTATACTCTGAAAAGGGTATATTAAGTTTGCCAAGAAGTTTGTAACACCCAGAAGGAAGTGGTCTCCAASACAACTATAAATGATCAGTATATTGAGCTGAGTCGATTTAGTCATTTCCGTCTGTCTGTCCGTCTGAATATATACATATGAACTAGTCAATCAGTTTTTAAGACATCGTTTRAAATTTTACCACTATACATATACATAGCTGCCATACAAACTGAACGATCCGAATCAAGTTATTGTATGCAAAACTTTCACATTTGACAATGTATCTTCAGAAAAGTTGACACAGGTCAGTTTCTAAGATAATAATGTAATATATGAAGAAATCGTTTAAATCGGCTTACTATAGCATATAGCTGCTATACAAACTGAATGATCGGAACCTAGTGCTGCTATGGAAAACTTTTGCATTTGACAAGATATATTCACGAAAKTATTTTCTAAGGCAACAATGTAATTTTCGAAGAAATTGTCAGATCGGCATAAAGCATAAAGCAGTCATACAAACTGAGTAATCGGAATCTAATGTTTGCATGGGAAACTTCCTCATTTGACGATGTATCTTCACGAAATTTGGTATGAGTTATTGTTCATAGAAATAAYGTAATATCGGAAGAAATTGTTCAGATCGGCTCACTATAGCATATAGCTGCCGAATGATCGGAATCAAGGGCTTGTATGGAAAACTTTCGCATTTGACGTGGTATCTTCCCGAATTTTGACATGGATTACTGCTTAAGGTAATAATATAATCTAAGAAAAAATTGCTTAGGTCCGATTACTTTAGCATATAGCTTCCATACAAACTGAACACATAGTTACTAAAAGAAATTCACCTGCGAATGGTTTATTAGCTTCGGTGCCGCCGAAGTTAACGCTTTTTCTTTTTGGATATCTTTRTTTATTGAAGCTGCTTGTTCAAACTGTGAACTTCAAAGCCTAACAACTAAGTCTTAACGGCTTAGTGGTCCTTCCGGGGACAATTAGTCTGAAATGCCTCTCCAGATGGTTTCGAGGCCAATTATAACTCATGTGTTTTTGGACTTTGCAAAGGAAATTTTGTTTCTTGATTGGATTTGTACCCACTTTCTTTATATAATTTCATTCCTAGTTTATGTACAGCATCCTTCAATTGCAGCTGGGTAACAAGGAGATCGATTTGCTTGCCATTCACGTCCAGGTCTTTTTTAGCTCTAGCTTCTCTATTTCATCATTTAAGGGATGTTAGATCCAAGAGTTCTTATAACATCTGAACATGCATCAGTAGTTATAAGCGATCTGTCAATATTATTTGTTACACAAAAAGCAATTAAATATTGTATTTTGCTTCGGTCACATAGCCAGTATGTCGGCTTATCAGGAGTTATATCAAGGTTATTTTGCCTTTTCATAATAGTGTAATACAGTTGCCTTCTTGGTTAATTAGACGGGAGCTCCAATACGTATGCTTAGCATTGTAATKATCATTTCTAGAAATCTATGCTCTAGAGTACCAAAAAGTCGGTAAATTGGTTATCTGTAAATTTGAAACAAGGTTCGCAATGTATAGCGAGTATGTTTAAGTCCCTATCGAGATTTTTTTAATTACYGTGAAACCTCCCACAAGCGGACACTGACGATTCCACAATTTTTGTCCGCTTTTGTCGAATAAGAATTCTACTAAAATTTATACATACACTACTTTTTAGATAAATTAGATTTCTTGGTAATTTATATATTTCATTTTTATTGCGAGATGTTTCATAATTATAATAAATTGAACATATTTGTTTATGTTTGGACTTTTAAAATTTCCTTTACCGTAGTTTGTCGCAACTTTCCTTGTTTCTGTTTTATTCTGTTCAAACTTTTTGCAATCCCGCTTTTCAAAACAGTTTTTAATTGCTTCCATCGTTACGTTGCCAAATKCAGTCTTATTAAAATAAATTGCATCCAAAATGTCAATGTTTTTGAAAGTTTGTTCATTGAAATTTCATCTATTCTTGTTAAAATATGTTTGATAATATTGCATCTGTAGTAACATTTGAAATTCTGTATAATTCTCTGTTCGAGGGGCTGGCAAATGGATGTTGTATTAGCAGGTAAAAAGATCAACTTTATGTTATTAACTTTAATATCTCGARGGTGAGTTGTGGCATTGTCCAAAAATAGTAAAACTTTTCTCATCCGAGAGCCCATTTTTTATCAAAYGTTAGTAGCCACTCACACATAATTTCACGAGACATCCAAGCTTGGGATTTGACTTCCATTCAACTGGCAGACTTTTTAAATCACATTTTCTAAACGCGCGTGGRCATGCTGCTTTTCCGATCACTAACTGTTAATCTTTCCTTCGATAACTTACCACCAACGCATTTTTCGTTCTTCAAGGCAAGAGTCTTATTTGACAAAGCCCGGAAGAAAAGTCCAGTTTCTTCTGGTCTGTAGCCCAATAATAAGTCTGGTAGCTTTTGTTTGAATTGATGTACATCCTCAGGATTAACCTCAGCAGATTCTCCACATATGCATTTGAAAGTCACATTAWGCCGTTTCCGCCATTTTTCCAACTATCCATTTGATGCCGAAAAAGTTTGAACTAATAATTGACCCCCAATTTGTTTTGCTTCTTCCTTTAAAACAGGGCCCGATACTGGTATACTTTGACAAACCAATCAAAACACAWATTGTCTATTTTTGAACCATCACTATTTARGAAGTTTTTCTTTTTATTTATGTTATCACCACCTTTTAATGTCTTTCTTTTTTACACAATAGTGGCAGCCTGGGATTTTCCAATATCGATTCTTTAAGAGCAAACAAATAAAAGTAAAAAATTATAAAGCACTAACCTTTCTCCGAGTGCACGAATAGATAAATTTTCTTTCTCCAACACATTTAAAATTTCAATTTGTTCTTTAATAGAAAGTATTGTCTTTTTTTTGTGGCATATTTTCCCGGTTAACACGACTTAAACGTTTCGCAAAGACAAATCAAATGAATCATAATTTTTATTTTTTTCATGTAAATAGCTACAAATTGTTACATATAGATCCCGTTACATCTTAACATGTTTATGCTTGTCCTCACAGTTTAACATATGGTGTGTGTACGAGTATGTGCAYATTGCGCTCATATTACTCGTATATAGGTTTCGGCTGTTTGGTTAGTTACTCTACATTTACTTCAATTATTGGTCTTCGTTGTCCTCAAATAAGAGTTTCGCGTCCGCTCATCAGAGGTTTTTACTGTTTTCTTTACACTTTCGTTCAGTAATCCAAGTTTCTTGTGCCTTGTCGAGAGGCCCGCGTCCGCTTTCGAGAGGTAATGAAAATAAAAAGTAGTAAAAAAAGTGTCCGCGTCCGGTYCCGAGAGKGTCCGGTTGTTAGAGYGGAATTTGTTCTGCGCAAAKTAAAACTTGGTTCCTGAATTTTTGTTCAGTTAAGAGAGGGGTCCGCTTATTGGAGGTGTCCGCAAGTAGAGGTTTCACCGTAAATTATTGTACCTTGTAATTGGATGTAGCATGATATTCTAAAGAATGGTSTTTTAATCGATTTCAAACCAACACTGCTGTTCCACCATGCACTTTGTGTTTCCGATAATAACATTACATCTATAWWYATATACATACATAAATAGGAAATCCATTTAAATACAATAATGAATGGAAACTTCAACGATTTGAATAGTATAATGTAATTGAAATTAATTTCTTTTCTCATTCTCATTACTGCCGATAAGCATATTTAATATCAAAAAAATTKCCCTCTGATGTCAGAGGAAGTATAAATAAGAAACAAATAAATGAGTGTTACCGTTTTCAATCGTTTCCTTGGCACAAGATATGATTTTGCCCTTGCGTCTACGCAGATTCGATTCGAAGTTCGTGTCATCGGTAAAATCATCACCCGCATCCAAGCCGGCATCCTCAGCTGCAGATTCGTGTACATCTTCCGACGATTGGCGTTCGGASGACATGTCGCCGCCGGCGCTTTGTAAAAGGTTTTCAAAACTCTTGTTCATAGCCGCGAATATAAGTGCACGACAAACAAATAATTCAAAATAAACACTATCAATTGGATAATGTAGTTAGCTTTTTTTAGATTTACGTTGCTTCAMMTGTTTCAGTACACATATTGATGTAGAATATTTTTTGGCGTACGAACATTTTTGTACATGCRTATATACATTTTTGTCAATAGCTGAAGTCTAATTATTAAACAAACTTCACATCAATCACACTACGAACAATGATCTACATAAATAACATGAAGTTTATTTTGATTATTACGATCGAGGAATATATCGTAACCTGATGGCATGGAAGAAACACGAAATAAAATAGAACATGAGTGTAACAAAATTTTAATATTGGTTAAAACTGGTCTATATCTGAGCGTAAACTCTGAAAATGTTGAACATAGGAGTATATAATAGTACGTATGTATGTATGTCATTTGAAGTAGTGAAGCGTAATCAATAAGACACTTCGATGATGTTCGAATTTCGAGTTTTTTGGTGATACGCTACTTTGCATTTCAAGTGACGATATGTCGGAATACAAACACATACTCGTAGTTACATACCTTTTGCAAAAAAAAATTTTCAGATGAAAACCTTTAAGTATAATAACCTAAAAATAGTTACCATAAAATAAGTGTTCTAATTAGCTGACATGAAATTATTTTCAAAAGTGAATTAAAGAGAACTTCAAAACTTTTCTACACTTTCACGTCACCTTAAATAAARTTTTACACTAACTTAACTGCACTGAAATAGTTTTTATTTCATTTTGGTGTAGCAACTACGTTATTTGAATTCAAAAAAAGATTCGTATATTTTCAAAATAATATACGGGGAGAGAAAATAACAGTTATTGCATAATTTTTGACAAAAAAAATGTTATTATAAAAAAGGGTGGATAAATATGTAGAACTTATGTGCAAATTAATAGGTCCACCGCTTCGAAAAGAAAAAATGAATAAGGAAATATTACAGTTTGGTGATTCAAAATGGGTAGAGGACTGTATATGCATTATGGAATAACGTTCATCTTCGAGAACCAATGAAAAACCTTCACAAAAAGAGTTTTTTGTAACGACAAAATAGGCGAAACATTTAAAAGCTCTAAGAGAAGTAGAAAACGCAATAAAATATAAGTTTCAAAAGGAAACACGCGGACAAAAACCAAAAATTTTACCTACCTACTGAAGAGAAAATGTGAACTTTGTGAAAAAACCTTTGGAACTTTAAAATCAATAAAGCTCGAATATTCTTTAAACGTTGATCATTTCGCCATTCGCAAAAAAACTTTGCAGAAGACTTAAAAACCAAAAATCCTTATCTGGCAAAACAAAATGTTTCTAGAAGGCTACTCTTTGATCAAAACCATGCCAATCTAGAAAAGGCGTAACATCTTATGGACAGTTGAGTCTAAATGTAAAATGTTTTATCCAGACTGTGATGCACAACATGTCCGAAGATCAATGAACACCGCTTTCAAACACAATACACAATTAAAACCATTAAGCTACGAGAAAGATTGATTTTGCTTTGGATATACTTTTCTTACTATGATATAGGACCGGTATATGGATTGAGGATACAATGACAGCAGCTACTAATTTCAATATTTAAAGTGAATTGATGTGACCTTATGATAAAGATAAAATGTCGCTTCAACAGGTGTTCCAGAAAGAAAATGATATAAAGCACACATCAAACCCAGTAAAAAATTGTTCTCAGATAACAACATTACCACTTTAAGCTGACTTGCTCAATCACCAAATCTAAACTGAGAATTTATAGCAAGAGTTGGAAGTAGCTTTGAGGAGGAAACAATAAATATGCCTTCTGGTTATTTGTAAAGGAAGTATGGGAGATAATTACCCAGGCCACATGCCAAAAATTGGACGATACTTAATAAAGACTTAACATACAAACACTAAAGAATCAAAATAATTCAACTAGGAAATACTGTAAAAAAACAAAATGTAATTAAAGTTTTGTTTTTAAATAGAACTTTAG